GCAGTCATTTTTAATTTTCTTTACAAAGTTTACCTATCAGTTTTAACTTTTTCTATGATTCTACTACTTCAATTTCTTTCTTCTTCTTCTTTTTTAAATCTTTCTTACTTTAAAAATAAGATTAGCTTCCTGTACTCTTGCTGTAGAATCAGCCATTCCCCCATGTCTATGAGGTGCTGTAGTATAGTGAATGAGAAGGCTGGGCTTTGTGTTCACTCAGGCTTGGATCTGAGTGCTGGCTCTGCCTTTGATTGGCCATGTTTTGGGCTCTTTCAGTTTTCTTATCTGTAAAATGGACAGTAAAGGTCATACTTCATAGTACTGTAATTACTAATTGATGTACTACTTGCATGGTGTCTGGCACTTGCCTGCTGACAACTTTCATACAGAAAGGACTCAGGATGTTGTTGCATTTTTTTCCCATAGGGTTCAGTTCTTAATGTGCTGATGGATTGAGAAGGAGATGCCTAGGAAACCCTATGGGGCAGTTCTACTCTGTCCTATAGGGTCTCTAGACTCGATGGCACACAACAATAATAACCACAGCCTTCCCTTCTGGTATTCTTTGTAATGAATTGTTATTACTTTTGAAATAATTCCCTCCATCGTGGTTGGAGTTCATAATATTTTCTTTTGCTTCCTTCCCATGGTGCATCCCTCCTGCTGGGCAGGAAGTTCATGTTCTCCCAGGGAAACAGCTTGGATAAAAAGATTGGCTTATTCCCTCTATTTGTTCCCTTGTGAGCTTTGCTTGACTCTATTTTGAAGGAACCCTGTCAGTTAAGATCTAGGTTTGTGCCTCTCTACATACTACCCACCTTTCATTTCTTAACTGACTTTCTGGTTCATTTGTGCAGAGCATTATTGTAAGATTAGAACATCTATCTCTTTGTTTTCTTTTTTCAAGGACTTCTTGAAATGACTTATGCAACAAACATATGGTAGGGTCAGGCAGCTTGTCCAAATAAAAAGGCAGAAGAAAGAACGTAGGAATTGGGAAGGAGTGTCAGGTGGGAGTCAGGCGAGGGCAGAGATTGAAACAGAAAAGTTGAGGGGAGAGCTGTTTGCTGTCTTAGCCTAATAGGCAAGGAGTCCTGTGATCTGTACTGGAGCCAGCACTGGCCAGGAAGTCCTAAGACAGCTTACAAAAAATAAACAAATAAATAAAAGGATTCGTTTTTTTCAGCTAGGAGAACTAGGGCATTTTATATAGGAATGAAAGTTATATAACTTTCTACTTCCTGTTTATGTTAGGCAGAAGTGGGTATCTAAATTGGTGAATAGAAAGCGGGGACTTTAAGATTTTTCCATAGTTTCTTTAGTATAAACTTGATGTGGAGTTGGGATTCATAGGGGAGGAGTTATAGAATAAGGGAAGGAAAAAGGAATTAAATGGAACTAAAGAGTGTTTAGGAGTTCTGGTTGGTGTAGTGAGTGCCTAAGGCACTTGACTGCTAACCAGAAGGCTGGCGGTTCAAACCCACCAGCTTCTCCTCAGAAGGAAGATTGGGCAATC